GTGTGTGTGTGTGTGTGTGTGTGTGTGTGTGTGTGTGTGTGTGTGTGTGTGAATATACTTGAATAAAGGGGTGGGGGTGGAAGGTTGTCTCACTTATTAGTGCATCAAATGTCACCGCATATTACAAGCATAGTAAGGAGTCTTAAAATTCACAATCAATTTGAGAAAAAAGTTTAGTTTCCCAGGTTACGCGGCCACATTGGATTTTGTTGACATGTCTTACGTAATTAATATCGCACTTATTTTTCATGGAAATAAATGTTCTTTTTTAAAATCTATTTCAGCCAACAATAGATCCACAAATTTGTGTGTTGAATTTTTCCTAAACGTACTAGAACATTTTTAATGACTTTTTTCCTGAGGTAGTATTTACGTTTGCAAAAAAATCCGTGAAAACACCATCAACAAAAATATTGTTCCATTTATATGTATCAAAAATTCATCCCACAAATTTTATGTATTACACCTTCTCTTCATTCTGTGAAAATGTCATGCAGATTAGAAGAACAATGGTGGAGTTATTTAACAAAAGTATATAAAAAACACGTTTCGAGAAAATGGGCGATAAAGAAAAAAAAATACTTTATGAGGAAATGGGGATGACAAACATGCCCAGTATGAGCAGAAATAAGACTTTAGGGGGTTCGTGTGCAATGAAATAGTTGTAGGAGAGACTGAAGAAGCTAAAAATGCCTTCCACTTAAAATCCATAGTCTTGAGCGAAATCGGGACTTCCGGGGTGTAGCCCCCCCCCCCTATAAATGAGAGAGACAGAGTTAGATAGAGAGACAGAAACATGCATATTAAAGACTGAGAAAAAACTTGTTAGGTGTGATGAACGAAAGATATCAAGTGTTTATAAAAACAAAATATATATTATATACGGCCCTTGGTTTAAAGAGATAAAAAAAACCCCTTAATGTTTAAAAATGAAACATAACTATTTGTATTATAGCTCTTTCATCTTATCATTCCAGAATTCAACGCTGATGCCATCTGGACTATAGAACCCAATACATGTGAGTCTTATTGCATCGTTCTTAGCGAGTGTACGAACTGTATACTGAATATGATCCACAAAATAGTGTTATTTTTGCTATCACAACAAAGATACACTTCTCAACTTTATTTTCTACAATATCTTTTTTATGTCCTTATTGTATTGGTAAATGTTGAAGGGAAGTCCAATTTTTGTTAAACGTAATGTAGGCGGCTTCTATTGAAGATGTATTATTATTGTTGTAATTTTTACGTTTATTATTATTATTATTATTATTATTATTATTATTATTATTATTATTATTATTATTATTGATCAATTAATTAATTAATTAATTAATTAATTAATGTATTCTTCCTTTTATTTGGAAGACCTTTTAGACACCACCCAGACAAAGTCTGCCGTTTTTGCCTGACCGCCTTTGTTGCATGTTCGTGCATATTATGTTGATTGGGGTGAGGGGGGGGGGGGTGGCATCTTATCAGGTGGCCACATAGTCTTGATTCTTTGATGTTCGTTATTATGTGCTATGATCGGTGTCACCTATTACTAAATTTCGAACAGTTAATTTGTTCCTTATGCAGTTTTTTCTTGTGACATTAATTAATTTTATGAGCCACATCTCAACATCTGTGGCGTCGGCAGCCTAGTGGTTATATTACTGGGCTCGCAATCATGAGATTGCGTGTTCGGGCTTCAAGGCTCAGCTTGTTCCGGCGTTGTGTCCTGGAAAAGGCACTTTACGCAAATTTCCTTTTTGGCTCGGCCCTTTCGGAGTGAAGGTCCCGCCTTTTTTAATGACCTATTGATGTTGATATGTGCGTTAAACTTACACAATTTCAATATTTATTTCCTTAACACCTATCATAAAACACTAACCACGATTGCTTCTATTCTTCAGTGTGCAACAAGAGCAAAGTCTTCCAACTCTTGGGTAACCTGACGGAGCGAAGACTTCGACAGGGGGACATGCTTAACTGCAGGTATGTCTCTTGATTTCAGTTCGTCCCTCAGTATATCACCGTGTTTAAGACAAAGAAAAAGTAGCAGATTTCGCCGTCTAAAGAACCTGTTTCGATCCGTCTCTAGTCTGTTGGTAGTGTGGTAATTTCGTCCGCGAGGTGTCGCTAGCATTGCAACAGATTTTAAGCCTCAGTATCTTTCTTTTATCTTAATTTCCACAGGTGCTCTTCTGCACTTTATCTAAAGACCTGTTTTGTTGTATTCATGTTTGGTCATTTGTGATATGTGAAATCCGCATTCCCTTCGTTTGCACTTTTGGAAACACATTGTACATGTCTTTTTGAAGCCACAGGGTGACTTTGTAGCTACGTGTATTTCCTATTCGTCAAGGACATGCCGCTTTATAGATAATGTTGGCATTGGTAGAAATGACTATGATGTTGCTGATGTCCAGTTGCTGCTGCTGTTGAATACCGTTTTCTTCAAAACTGTATCCGAGTCTCCGTTTATTTTTGTCTATTGTACAACAATGATGTCAACTATAAGGATGACAATGACAATGAACAGTATTACCCTGAGTGAGCCTTTCAAGTTCATTCCATAATAAAGGACAGTAACGACAACTTTAATCATTTTTGCAATGTTTTTCTTTACAGTGAAATGACGACTGGCTTGGCCCAGCTAAAGGAAGTAAGCGAAGGTTGCTCTTGGGAGATAAAGTCAGTCGTGTCTATCTTGATGGGCACTGCCAAGATGAACTACTTCTCCGCTTGTACACCAGGATCCTGTAACGTGAAGTACGCGCAAATGTGCTTGGATCACGCCGAGGAGACCATGCCGGACAATTTCAGGTCCTTGAACAATGCTGACCGTCGGATGGCTTGCCAGTGAGTCTTTTCTGGTGTATGCAGCGGCAGGAACGACAGCAATAACTTTACAACAACAACAACAACAACAACAACAACAGCAACAACAACTACAACAACAACAACAACAACAACTACTACTACTACTACTACTACTACTACTACTACTACTACTACTACTACTACAAAAAACAAGTGAAAAAATAAAAAAAATAAAAAAGAAGAATAAGAAAAGTAAGAAAGAAGTAATTGATAAAAAAGATGATTTTCTTCATGCTCCTTATATCAATAATTACTTTTCACAGGGTGTCAATATACATTTACTCTCGATGTCGTCCCCAGGAACCTGAAACATTCTCTGGCGTGTGTAACTAACCACACACGCTCTTGTTCGGGTGACATTTACAGCAGTGTCAGCCGACGCTTTGAAAGCATCAAAGCCAGGTTCATGAACAACAACTGCACCGCTTTCTTCCCTCGCCCTACTGACTGCAAGCCTAGATCTGGGCCTCAGCCTCGGCCTCAGCCTGTGAATGACATCCAGCAACTGAAAAAGAAAGCTACGGAAAGTTTCTTCTCTTCACGAATCAGCAGAGAACGTTGCAGGTCAGACACTTAAGACGAGTTCACGAACTTATGTTATTGTCTCAATCCTCACCACCCCCCAGCCTCCCCCCTCCACGCATCCCCTCCCCACCTCGACCCCCCCCCCCCGCCCCGGCTCATGTTGTTCTACTGCAGATCTAGTCTCGGTGTCTTAGCTGAGGGAACTTTAGAGTCTTGATAAGATGCTTACTAACTTTACTTTATTCATCCGCTTGTACCGGTGGGTGTCGCGAGGAGATACAGGCGTCTGTCTGAAACAAGGCGAGTGGTCTGTAGGAGTGAAATCCCGTGAGAACTGAGAGTGTCTGCTACAGTTTCGATCCAGCGTCGCCGTAGTCTTCCTCTGGCTTTCCAGCCAGAATATTTGATGTTATATTATTATGCCCTTAGAGCTGGTTGGTTTGGGGACATCCGTGTGAGGCGTCCGAACCACTTGATCTTTTGTTTTTCAATGTGTGGTAGGACTGGTGTTGCTCCTACCGGGTCCCTTAAGATTTCATTTTTTATTTTGTCTCTCCTTGTCTTAATAGTCGCTCTTCTTAAACATTTCATCTCGCTTGTGACCAGCTTCCTTTCTAGGGCTTTTGTTAGGGACTATGCCTAGCACTGATATGTGAGTGTTAGTAGGAAAATGGCGTTGATGAGTTAGATACAATAACATAATATAAAGCCTACATTTGTGTGTGTGACTTGAGAAAGGTCCCAGTTGTCGAGAAAGCTATTTTTGAGCAACGGTGTTAAAAAAGCATTAAAAAAAGTCGTAGGCTAACTGGTCAAAATTTAGTTCCATAAAAAAAACACGTGTTTAATCATTTCTTTACAACGTATTGAAAGAATTTTATTGGTGACATTTAAGTCTAAATATTATCTAAAATTATTTATTTCTGCTACATGATGTACTCTATCAAAGTTTTAAAATGTGCTAGAAATAGGGTCAACACACAAAGCCGCTTTTCTTCAAACTTTGTTGATACATCCCATGTTACAAAATATGGCATGTCTTTAAGACTACTCATGATATTTGAAAAAAAATCGGCATGTTCAGCATTTGAAAACTTAATCTGTCACGAGTTTCATGATTGCTTCATTCAATGATAAAACTGTACAATACGTAGTTGTTATCTCCAATTGCAAGTGTCAAGACAACGTTTAAGGGGGCACATTGTTTGATCATTAAAATGAACCTTAATAAGTCACTCGTATTACTACAATTTTCCTCTGTGAAAAGTAGCCCTAAGGAGCAAACTTGGAAAAGAAAATAATTGACGGGTACCCACACTAACCAAAATTGCAACCACATTCCCCATGAACTTGTTTTGTATTTCTTCTGCCCACCTAGATTGCAATTAATTTATTTTACAGCATATATGCACGTTTGCGTTTATGAAGATTTCCGGGAAAAGTCACAGGAACATTGATTTTGAGAACAACTGTCTTTCTTCATGTGCACATTTGAACTACTGCCACTCTTTCCAAGTGCCACTGGTTTATATTATTATATAATAATACTATTACATTATGCTGGGTATAAGAAAACTTACCGCTTTTTACTTGTATAAAATCTCGATGTAGTCTTTTGAGCCTTTAAGCTTTTTAATTCATGTAAATAATACTAAGTACGTATTATCTAAAAGGTAGATCATGTTAAAAAGATAACATTTTGGTGTTTCAATAATTCGTTTTCTCAGGACTAACTGTCAAATATAGAAACTTGGCATTTTTTCCAAACGCGTCATACTTTTTTTTTCTATTCTTTGGTTGCTTGAATAAAATGAAGTTTTCGATCTAGGTCTGTAGATCATTCCACCACAAGCACGGTTTCCTCCCGGTCCATCTGGTCTCGGCAAAATCTGCTTCTCCGAATTTCTGTACATTACTTTTTTAGTTATACATGTATTTTTGAACCAATTTAAATCATTTTTAGCACATGCATTACTGATAAGAAATCCAACACTTTTTTTGTTATTTAAGATGTTATCTACTATTTATAGATTTTAAACAATTATTATTTTTAAAAATAGTAATATGTTCACTTTTTGACCATATTAATTTTTTCTCACACTCCTCGGAAGTTACAGAATGGAAGTTAATGATTTTTTACATAGACATAGCCCAGGGTAACGGCTTCATCGCATAGGAGCATATTTTAGTACATTTTATGAACTTTATGACAAAAAATCATGGAACTTTCGGCAAAAAGCGATTTTTAAAAAACGCCAACTTTGACATCTTAAGCTCAGAAATTCAACAAGATATAATAAACGGATGCTACATGGTAATAAAAAGCCTATTACCTGCCAATTTCTGATTTGCCAACAAATTCCATCGATGCAGTTCTGAGGAGTAGCATTTCGTGTAATTGACGTAATATTGAAAATAGCGGACATTAAAATGTTTTAAAAGTGCCAAATGATTTTTGAACCAATAGTCACTTTCATGCAAAGTGCCAAGCCGCTTTTGACCTAGTAATAACGATTTTAATCCTTAGGTTGGACTCCTCCCCTTTATTGAAGAATATGAATCATAAATAGGAATAATATGTTAGAAGTTTATGGTACACACAGAGCGCGACGTGACTCAGTTGCTCACATATTGATTAAATTACAGTAATTCCCCGACCTTCTCAAAATACAGAGAGTTTCATTTTCTTCTAGAGAGGTGCACTTGGGCATTTTATCATTTTGGAGAAGAGAGTATAGCTTCGGCAAAGTCGTAGCAAATTTTTGTTATAGTTTTAAAAAAAAGAAGAAACGAGCACATTCACTATCTACTGTTTCAAGAGTTAAAGTTAAGCTTCAGCCCCCTCTCCTCCTCTTTTAACAGCAAATGGCAACTGTCCACTATACTATAGGACTCGTCTATAAAACTCATTTTTTCGTTAGCTCATGATCAAATGGAAGGCGACAGGTTGGCATATCATAATGGACGCCGAGTGAAAACAGAAGACGGCCTCTAAAGGCCTTCTGTTCAAATTTGTCTTAGAAAAAAACTACCAGACACGCAAAATACTTTATCTTTTGCTTAGTTGAAAACAACAAAAATATCATTGCCCCCATACCCTTTTTATACTACCTCTTTTCATGTCCCCCAAATCCTCGTTTCATGTGCCACCCCTAACCACTCGTCATCATAACGAACCCTTTCTAAGTTGGTACTTATTTCAATAACTGCCTTCTCATACACCCCCTCCGGCATTCTTGTTTCAGGAAGTATGCAACCAACTTCACAGGTATTGCGTTATTCAATGGAACCAGATCCAATGTCACGCTATACCGGAGAACTGTGGCCTCACTGGAGTGTGACTTCGAAGCCCGTGAGTGCCTTGCAATGCTGTAATCTGAGGGTCAGTTTATAGGTGTAATATAATATGCAAAGACTACTGAAGAAATTGTAACATAAAATTGTTACTATGGGAGTTAAACCCACGGGTTCAAGACCTATATAAACAATGTTAGGTTATTCAACAGGCAGGGATCTCCGAACTTAACGCATGTCTTCGATAGGACCGAGCCAAATGGGCTGGGAGCCTTGAGAACTTTACTGAACAACCCGCGTGTTCAAGAACGACCAGTCGTGGGTTCGACAAGGCCATCCGCTCCTTAGTCCAACATGGTGCCAGCTGAGCTAACAGAGCGCCCACACGCTGAAAGGATGTCAAAACATAACCATAATTATTAACAAGCTATTGTTTGATTTTCGTCCTGAATATTTTAAGGCTCAATATTATTACCATTAAATACTGAATGGACCAAAATGTTTCTTAATAGTCACACAACAACAATTGAAATTAAGGATCCCCAGAAATCCATGATTCAACTTCTCCCAGGAATATATCCTGACTGACCAGCTGTTTCGTCCTCAAAATTGTGCACATAATTAGCATGCTTCGCGCCAACATCGAAATGATATATTATATATATATATACATTCTATCGAATTGGCTGCTTTGAATCTGCAAACCAGGACTGTATAGGAAGCATCAGAGCAAAAAGGCACATTTATTCGGCACAACATCAGCTTAGCCATTATTGATATAATTTGTTACCACCCCAAAACATAATAAATATCTTTTTGAAACATAATTCAACGCTCGATATAAAAAGCAGATTTTAGCGATTCTGTTTCTGGCTATGTATCAAGTGTGTTAAATAACCAAGTGTGTTGAATAATCAAGCTTGAACTTCTGTCAAAAGACAGAAGTCAATGGGTCAATAAACGTGCAGAACATGTGCGCTTGTTCTTCCTTCTTGTTAGATTTACCAGAAGCTCGACGCTGCTTCTCTGACCTTTCGCCGATAAAACTTTCTCTCTTACCATTCTGCCTGCCTGTGTTGTATTGTTTCCAAGCCAATTGTTTCTATGTCCTGTTCCCATGTTCTATAAAAAAACACACAGTCGAAATGGTTACTATTTCCTCATACTATTCTCTAAAAAGTTTAACTTTTGCTTACAGCGTCTGCCAGAGCATTGCCCTTACTATGTCTGACGGGCAACTGTAGCGGAGAGAACTGTACCAGTGCCGATCTTAAGCAGTGTCTGCCGGGCCAGGTAATCACGCACCGGTTTACGTTGATCGCAGAGTTGGCAAACGGAGAGAGAGAAGAGAGAGAGAGAGAGAGAGAGAGAGAGAGAGAGAGAGAGAGAGAGTGAGAGAGAGAGAAGAGAGCGACAGACAAACAGACAGACAGACAGACTAGACAGAGAGCAGGGCAGGGACAATGAGAGAGAGAGAG